TTTAGATTATGATGTGGAAGTGCCAGTGTTGGACTGGGGTGGACAAAGTCAAAAATCACATGCCACCAGGTTATAGTCCAACAGTTTTATTTGAAGTCCCAAGCTTTCAGAATCTCTCCTCTTCTTCAGGTGTCAGTGAGAGAGATGGCATCAGACACAGAATTTATAAGTAAAAGATCAAAGGGTCATAGAGCTGATGTGAATGTATTGAACAAATTTAAGTTGGCTGTTAAATCTTTAATCAATTAGAAAGGATTAATATCTGATTTTAAACTGACAAATACAGAGAGGCCTAGATAGAGTGGATGTGGAGAAAATGCTTCAATTTGTAAGAAAGACTAGAACCTGGGGGCGCAGCCTCAGAGTAAGGGATGACGGTTTAAAAAATATTTGGATAGTTAAATGTATGGGAAGAGTTTAGAGGGATATGGATCAAATGCGGGCACTTGGAACTGGGTAGGCACCTTGGTCGTCATGGACCAGTTTGGGCCTAAGGGCCTGTTTTCATGCTGTATTCTTTGACACTATGATTCTATAACTGAGGAGGAATTTCTTCAGCCAGAGTGTGGTTAATCTGTGGAACTCATTGCTGTAGTGGACTACGGAGGCCAGGTCATTGAGTGTATTTAGGACAGATAGGTTCTTTATTAGTAAAGCAATCAAGGTTTATGGAGAAAAGGCAGGAGAATGTAGAGGCTTATAAAATGGTGAGGGTCATAGATGAGGTGAATAGCTAAAGTCTTCCCCCTAGGGTAGGGGAGTCCAAAACTGGAGTGCATAGGTTTAAGGTGCAAGGAGAAAGATTTAAATGAGACCTGAGGCAACTTTTTCACACTGAGTGTGGTGCGTATATGGAACAAGGTGCCAAGTGTTGGAGAGTAGGTAGTATAGTTACAGGACTTCAAAGACATTCTGACAGTTAGATGGATAGGAAAGGTTTAGAAGGTTATAGGCCAAATGCAGGCAAATGGGACTAGTTCATGCCGACCAGATATCCTAAAATGAATGAGTTGGGTTGAAGGATCTGTTTCCATGCTGTGTGACTTGACCCATTACAGTTGCAGAAACTTCAGCCATGATCAAATGGTTGAGCAGACTCTAGGCCAAATGGCCTAATTCTGCTCCTTTATCTTAAGGTCCTCATAGTTTATAGAAAAGAAATAATGCCTACTATCTCACCAATTCTGTGTTAAGTGTGTAATGCAGTCAGCTGGAGAGGCGAAATGGTGATGTAGAGTGACAGCTTAATCATTGGTATTTAGCAATTTATGTCCTTAAGTATCCATAGAGAAAAGGTTAATCTTAAACACAAACACAATTTTCTGCTTTCAGACCTAAACTTGGTTATGTGCAGGGCAATATTGTATAGTAAGAGTTGAGTAGAAATAAGGCAGTGTCTTTCTGAATAGAATCATGTGTCTACAGCACAGAAAAATGGCCTTTGGCCATTTATTCTGGATGGGCAGAGATTTGAGGTGGTAATGCATTCAAGGGCTTTCAGTTGAGACTGATGACATGTTGATAAATTACACAGACTAGAATCAATGATGGTGTTTGCTGGACAATTAGAGATTGGCAATAAATGCTGACCTAGCCAGTGAAGCCCTCATCCTGTGAATGAATGAATGAAGTAAACATTGGTTTTATAAACTACAAGAACCACTTATGAAATGATGAAAAAGTACAATTGTTACACAGTAGGGAACCATGTATATGTGTATGAATGTAAAACGTTATTTTGATTCTCGTTCAATGTGTCTGTGAGCAATTTTTATGTTGGCTTGCTTACTGAATAAGTAGTGAATTTGGTCAAGTATCATATCTATTAAGCTTGTAACTTTTTTTTTCTTGACAGCATTTTCATTTTTGTTAACCAGTGAAGGCTCTAAGATGTGAGAAGGTTGGTCATTGCCAGGAGAAGGTTCTTTGCTGTGGTAGAGATAAAAATCAAAACTAACACGTGAAAATCTCATTTGATAGATGTGAAATGTGGTTCACTTGGGCAGCCAAAATAAAAACAAGTTGGAAATGAACAATTATTTAAAATCTGAACATTTTCCCCTAAAAGCTCCTTAAACTCCATGAATGCTCTGATATCAACCACCAATGACTGGCCACTGATTTGTGCAACACTAGCAAGTTAACTGAGGTACTTGCTCCCCTAAATTCCTTGAATATAGAGTGTCCTAGTTTAAAAGTAATTTGTTTACTATTGTGTATTTTGTTGTAAGTGCCACATTGCAGCTTTTTCAACTTGATGTATATGATTCTTTGTAATTTTTACTGATTTATAGTGTGTAAGATTCTGACTACTTAAATTGCATATTGGAAGTGCGTTGCATCTGGCAATTTGGGGAAAAAAGCAAAGTGCAGTTCAGGCTGATTTGCCCCTGAAGTCATCTTAATACTGGTGCGATTACAGTTTTTGGGGTGATCTGTATGATCACCAGGCTTGCATGTTCTTCTCTGTTTTCAGTGACTAAATGAGTACTTTAATCATGGCATGCTAGAAATTGCAGCTTGAAAAATTGAATTCCAGTGGAAATGTTCACGGGTTACTGTATTTGGAGTGCTATATTTTGGGCTTCCCACAATTGACAGGATTATACAATACAGTAGTAATCCAATAAGCTGATGCATGCCATTATTTATACTTCACATGATTGTCATTGTAAACTGTACTTCTGTCTACCACATCCCACCCAGTTAGGTTTTTAATCGATTTTTCTTGCTTTAATCTACTTGCCTTATGTGAAGTGATCAGTGGCTTCAAGGTGTCTGAGGCAAGATTTCTTCCTGGTGGCGGTGGTGGATGGACTTGACTTTGGTGCAGCATGGGGAAACAGTGAGCGAGCAAGCCCAATGCAGAAGGAGATTGAGTCAGTGCAGGGAGCATTGAGAGTACATGGGAGAGTGAGCCCAACATGGAGGAGAGTGGGAGGAGAACAATCCCAGTGTAGGGGGAGGCGTTCGAGCCCATCGCAGCGGTGATAGAGGCCCCCCAGTATTTATGGCAACGGTGAGAGCAGGCAGCTTGAGGTCTCCCAGCATCTGCGGCAGCAGTGAGCCTGGCGCGGAGGGGACTGAACCTTTTATGGGGAGTGTGAGCCTAGCATGGCTAAGCATTTCAGAAGGACTGTAATACTGAACTTTTAACTTTATTTCTTTCTTTTTCTACTTTGTACCTAAGATGGCGCTGGTAATGGTGACATTTGTTCACTTTTCACTGTACTCATGTATCCTTATACTGGAGTACACCTGACACTAAAATCTAATTCTAATTATAGTTCTTCTCTGTTTTGGTAACCAGCATGATACCAGCATTGACAAAATGGTAGGAGATGTTGAATGCTAAAAGATATTGGAATAAGGCACATATTTATGGGTGGATATTGAAGGTACAGTAGTAATGCTGGCAGATGGGATGAAAAATGATTGTGAATTCTGAGATTGTGCGAATCCAATGCTTCTGACATTATGGCCAACAATGTTTGTCAAAATAACAGATGCTTTACAAATTCTCTTGTTCTTTCTTGCCTTTTAATCTGTTTCATGTGGGACGTCTTTGAATCATTTATATAACCTCTGAATTTGCTGTAAAGGAAATAGCATATTTTATCAAGTACAATATTCACTTTTTTATATGGTATAATCAGAGTACCACTATCAACAATATATAATCAATATGGACATGGTGCCCAGAGGCTTTCCTTGTTAATGTGATTTATGTGTAGTTGAAATGTTCTTTATTTTTAACCATCCTTATGTTACTTTCCTCCTGAATGTGGGACTACTGTTAAAGTATGGTTCCATGGAAATCCAGCAACTCACCACGTTATTTTGTGAATTTAACAGTAAGTGCTAGACTATCTATAAGCTTTAATCTGTCCTTTATGCAAATTAGCAAGAGCAAGAGCCCGAGTGTCTTTGTCTTTTTCCCCTGTTGAGCCAGGAACACTAACCAATTGAAGTAACTTGTCTTGGCTGAGGTCAATAATGTTTCATGCTCTTCATGCAGAATCTTTTGTTATTGTAACACAGGGTATGGAGATTGGACCCCAGAACTACCTTGGGAGATACAGAGATGGAATCTGTGCTATTGGAATTATTCTACACTGTACTTTAGCCATCTTAACCATCTAGCCAACTGAACCATAATTGTGTGCTCGTTAGAAACTCTCCAACATTTTTGAAACATTCTCTACTATTGCATTTGTCCTGCCTCACTGATATTCTGTGGGGAGTAACAGAGCAACAACCATCCTATGAATAAATTTTTTGCCATTGAACTCCACTCCACTCCATTTGCCTTTAAATAGGCAACTCTATCAACTTTGGCAGCAAAAAAGAATGATCAAATACCATAATAGCCAACTTGGAAGGAAATGTATTCCATATACAAGGTCATTCTTCTCACCTTCTCTGTTTGTAGGCATATCATTGATAATTATTCACCAATCTACAACAAAGTACCAATGATTTGTTATTGATTTGGCCAGGAGTCAGTTCTCGTCTTTCCTCAGCAACAGGAGAAAGAGAACCCGTGTTGACAATTATAATTTTACAGCAGTACTTTGAAGAGTTTGAACAATCCTTTTTATTATTTTGTATAGCTATTACTTTCGTGCTACCTCCATGTATATATTTATCTGGTTTATTTTGAATTTAAATAGCTAGCGATTAACTTTGCAGCTGAAGCTTTTGCTTTCAGGCATTTGTTTTTTTTTTCAGATATTCTGGTAATTATGTCTTATGGCAATCTCGGGCTTTAGAACCACTCTTTGTTTGAAACACTTATCTCATAGAACCATGTGTGATACCTCACAAACCTGCTGCACCTTTGGATTTACTATTGATTGTTACTGTGAAAGATGGCTCATGGTATGTTAGATAAGCTGTGATTAGGTGAAGGAAAATGAACTAATGCACATGATATGATGTTTTTAAAAATAGTGAACAAACTTTGTTTGATATTTCCTTTTCATATCCTCTTCTTCCAGTCGTGACCTTGAAAATAAGGAGACACTCAGGGGGTTACCAAAAATGGATGACCGCCCGGAGGAGCGCATGATCAGGGAAAAGCTGAAAGTGACATGCATGCCAGCTTGGAAACATGAATGGTTAGAAAGAAGGAACAGGCGAGGACCAGTGGTAAGTACAACCAGGAATCCTCTTGAAATTAACACATTCTGGGCTGAAGCCTTAAGCCTATGATGTATACAAATGCATGCCCTTTTGCGTATGTTTTTGTATACTTCTAAATGCAAAGGTATAAGTGATAAAGCTGAGAGTACCTTGAAGCTTAGCTTGAGGTGAGATTTAACTCTTACAGACTCGCTTACAGTCAATTGTAATGTGAGAATTCCCAGTATTTATCACTAGGAGATAAGTGTTATTCAGCAGAAATAGGTGAAGATGCTGACATTTGCCCGTATTACAGTAGAGATGCTCAAGTCCTTTTGATCTGGGATAACTGGAGAAAGGAACTGGAGTTGATTGAATTAAAGATTGAGTGTGAACTCTCTGGCTCATGTTACTTGGGAGAAAACCCCATGTCTCGCAGCACTGCTTTGAGATTTTAGAAGAATTGTAAACATTGAATATGGTATTTTCTGAGTGGTTACAGAATGTATAATGGTCTGTCATGAGTCATAAAGCACGGAAACATACCATTCAGTCCAACTAGTCCATGCCAAACACAATCCCAAACGAAACTAGTCTCACATGCTGGCTCTTGGCCCATAACCCTCCAAACCTTTCCAATTCGTGTATCTATCCGAATGACTTTTAAATGTTGTAATTGTACCCGCATCCACCACTTCATCAGGAAGTTCATTCCACACGCAAAACATCCTCTGCATTTTAAAAAAAAAATTGCCTCGTCTTTTTTTTTAAATCCCTCACCTCTAACCTTAAAAATGTTACCCCAGTCTTGAAATCCCTCATCCTAGGGAAAAGACAACTACTGTTAACTGTATCTATATCCCCTCATTATTTTAAACACATATTAGGTTGTCTGTCAACCTCCATCGTTGCTCTTTTGCTCTTTAGCACACACAAATTGAGATTTACGTTCTAGGTGCAGTTCATAAGTTTATTTTCAAAACGTGAGCAGCCAATGATGGAATGCCACCTGAAAGGCTGATTAATTGTATCAATGCATCTTGGGAAATTTAGTACTTGCGCATGCGTAGATTGCGCATTCTAAATTCATCTGACTGCTCTAGTCAAAATAGTCAAAACGAAGCTCTGATATGAAGAAAGGCTCAATTAGTTCATGTATTATTCATATTATTAATTGTTTTCACTTCACATTGCTTAAACTTTTATTATGGACATAAACTTCATTTGTTGAAGGCTAAAGTAATAGTAAATAATATTTTAAGAAAATGTTAAGCAATTTGTGGAAAATTATCAGCCACTATGCTTCTGTAACAGCTGTTATCACATAGCTGTGATACTCTACTTCGAAAAGTGTAGTCACAGTGCCATCTACAGACATAACAGGCTCTGAGTTTCATTTGAAGTAGGCACACTGAATCTAAAATGCAGAAGACATTAGTTATCTAATGCCCTTTGTGTATGTAAATACACCTAGGGCTTGGAATGGAAGGAATGATGAAGGTTTATACATGTCCAGCAAATACTTGTTTATTAACATAGAACAAAAACTTTAATGTTTGTTTCTGTCAAAGATTCAGATGTGATTTGCATTCAAATTGTTTATTTGCATGGTTGAGAAGAACAGGGCTGGCAGCTCAACATTCCAGGGTTGAAATGTTTCAGGCGTGATGAGGAGGAATGTTAAAGGATTGGGGGAGTTGTGGTTTCTTTTTAAACCTTCTCTGAACAGGTTGATTTGGGAAAAAAAATGTTATTACGCACCCCTGGTGCAGGTGGGACTTAACTCCCCGACTGGGAGGCGTGGGTTTATTTTACTGATTTTAAGGAGCATGCCACAGCTGCACTAAGAGAGGACATCTTGCTCATCCAGCAAGGCCATGTGGGTAAACCTCAGGAATAAGAAAGGTACAGTCGTTATGATGGGTTTGTACAATAGGCCTCTGTGTAAATTACCACAAGCTACCTATAATTCGTCTACTTATTAAGAAATCTCAGACAATCAAGCACTGAATCAATTACGTAAACTTTATTGCATGAATCAACCAAAATAAGACCCCTCAAGGAAGCAAGTTAAACCTTTCAACTCAATTTAGCTATTACCGATTTTTAATTTAGTTACAATTCCAACCAACAGTGTTTGTCTCTGGATGTCCAGAGTCTGAGCATGGTGCTGTGTTGTTCTTCAAAGTTCTGGCTATTAACAAATCCTGAACTTGAGTTCTTATAGGATTTTCTGTCTTGTGAAGTTTCTGATGTGACATTATTGATCCTTTCAATCTGTTTATCCAGAACATTGATTACACTTCTAGAGTCATCAAGCCTATAAGCTTCCCTGTTCCTGTTCATTTGGCATTAGCTGTCTGTTTGAAAACACAACTTTGCTGCATTTAACTCCTTTACCTCAGAACATTCCTTCTGCAGACAATCTTAATTGCCATTTGTCACAAGACAGCAGTCTCTGTCCCAGCAAACAGCTTGTTTATGTTGCTTTGACGACTCCTTTCCAGGGATGGTTAATTAGCATGTTGCTTTTAATTTCTTTATAACAGTTTCTCCTTGCCCCTTTCCAGAATAACTAACTGTTTCCAGAGATGAAAGTGTTATTGTTGATTTCTTTCAATCCCTGAACAATTATTAAAGTATTGAGGTTTACAGTATCACATGTTGACTATTGGGACAAGAGGTAGAGAGGCAAATATGTAAGTAGATCATGATGTAAAAACAATAGGGTTTTTATAGTGGGTGATTTTTAACTTCCCCCAATATTAACTGGGGCTCCCTTAGTTCCAGGGGTTAGATGGAGCAGAATTTGTTAGGTGCATTCAAGAAGCTTTCTTGAAACAATATGCAGTTAGCCTGACTAGAGAAGGGGCCATACTAGACCTTGTACCAGGGAACAAGCCTGGCTGGGCCATTGAAGATTCAATGGAGGTGCGTTTTGGGAACAGTGATCATAATTCTTTACGTTTTAAGATTCTAATGCAGAAGGATAAGATGGCCCTTGGGTAAAAATACAAAACTGGGAAAAGGTCAGTTACAATAGAATTAGGCAGGAACTGGAGAAATTAGATTGGGGACAGCTTTTTGACAGTAAATCTACATCTGACATGCGGGAAACTTTTAAGGACCAGTTGTTTGGAGTTCTGGACCAGCATGTTTCTGCGAGGATAAAAAATTTGGATTCGGGAACCTTGGATGGTGACAGACGTTGAAAGATGAGTCAAAAAGCAAAAGGAAGCATTCATAAGGTTTAGGAAACTGAAATTGGAAAAGACACTTGAATATATAGGAAGCAGAAAATAACTTAAAGAATTAGGAGCGCTAAAAGGCAGTGTCCTTGGCATTTAGGATTAAGGAGAATCCCAAGCCATTTTATATGTATACTATGAACACGAGGGCAAGTATAGAATGGCTATACCCACTCAAGCACAAATGAAGGAATTTTATGCTTGGAACCAGAGGAAATGGGTGAGGTTCTTTTGAGTATTTCACATTGAATTCACCAAGGAGAGGGACGTGGATGGTGGTAAGATTAGGGAGGGGTATGTTGATATTGTAGGGCATGTCAATATTAGGAAGGAAGAAGTTGATGTCCCAAAACATTTGAGATCGGTAAGTTCTCAACACCTGATGGGACCTATTCCAAGATACTGAAGGAGGCAAGGGAGGAGATTGGCTGGGGCCTTGACGGAGATCTTTGTATCTTCTTTAGCCACAGGCGAGGTCCCAGAGGACTGGAGAATAACCAATATTGCTCCTTGAGAAGAGCAATAGGGATAATCCAAGAAATTACAGGTCGGTGAGCCTTACATTAGTGGTAGGGAAATTATTAGAGAAGATTCTTTAATGGCAGGATGTACTCCCATTTGCAAAAGAATGGACTTATTAGGGATAGTCAGCATGGTTTTATGCGAGGAGGTCTTGTCGCACAAACTTGAGTTTTGTGAGGAAGTGATGATTGAGGATAGGGGAGTGGATATTGTCTACGTGGACCTTACCAAAGCATTGACTGACCTCTTTGGTAATTTATGTAAATGATTTGGATGAAAATCTGAGTTTGCAGACAACACAAAAATTGGTGGTGTTATTGATGGTGAGGCATATTGTCGAAAGATACAGCAGGACATAGATTTGTTGGAAAGTTGGGTGGAGAAATGGCAGATAGAACCACACAAACAAGCTGATGCATTTTGGGAGGTCAAATGCAAGAGAAAAGTATTCAGTAAATGGCAGGAACTTGAGCATTGATATGCAGAGGGACCTTGGAGTATAAGTCCATAACTCCCTGAAAGTAGCAATACGTGGGGTTAGGGTGGTAAAGAAGGCGTACGGCATGCTTGCCTTCATCAGTCGGGGCATTGAGATTGAGTATAAAATTTGGCAAGCCGTGTTGCAGCTGTATAAGACTTCAGTTAGGCTATATTTGTAATATTGTGTGCAGTTCTGGTCACAACATTTTTTTTTCTTTTCTGAAAGTTGTGGAGGCTTTGGAGAAGGTGCAAACGAAGTTTACCAGGATGTTTGCCTGGATTGGAGTGTATTAGCCAAAAGGAGAGGTTGGAGAAACATGTATCACTTTCATTAAAGTGCTGAATGCTTGATAGAAGTATGTAAAATTGAAAGGCCTGGATAGGATGGATAGTTGGAGTCTTTTTTGCAGGGTAGAAATGTCAAAAACTAGGGGACATAGGTTTAAAAAGAGGAGAAATTTTAAAGATGTGTGAATCAAGTTTTTTTTTACTGCAGAGGGCAGTAGGTGCCTGGAACATGCTGGCAGAAGAGATGGTAGAAACAGATACAATAACAACGTTTAAGAAACATTGAGACAGACACATCAACAAGCCGGGGAATAGAGGGATACAAACCATGTGCAGGCAGATGGGATTAGTTTAAAATGGCATCATGGTCAGCACACACATGGTGGGCTGATGCATCTGTTCCTGTGCTGTACTGTTCTATGCTAACTATTAACACAGTAAAACAGCACCATCATGGACCCTAGTCCATTCCACGACCACCAACGCCTTCCACTTCTCACAGTACCTTCCCATGTAACTCTGGAAGGTGCAATACTTGCCCCTTCACCACCTCCCTGCTCACTATGCAAGGGCCTAAACAGTCGTTCCAGGTGAAGCAACATTTCACCTGTACCACCTCCAATTTTGTGTATTGTATTTGCTGCACCCAATGTGTCCTACAGTACATTGGAGAAAACAAATGCTGACTGGATGACTGCTTTGCAGCATATCTCTGGTCTGTGTGCAAGCATGACCCTGACTTTCCTGTAGCTGGTCATTTTAACACAGTGTCCTGATAGAGTGCCCACTTGCCGGTCCTCTGCGTGCCTGCAGTGAATCACAGCACAAACTGGAGGAACAGCATCTCATCTTCAGACTAGTACTTTACAGCCTCAACACCTTCAATTATGAACCAACTCCCATTTCTTTTAGCTTTACTTGTTACATTCTCTATCACAATGTCTTCTGTCCTCTCCCCTCACCTCAATACAATTGTCTGCTCTTTCAAGTCTGGCAATTAGACACACCATTTTACTGACATTCTCACATTCTGATCACTTGATCTGAACTATCAATATCTTTTCTCCACCAGCACTTTAGACCCCCTCCCCAACACATAATTGCTGCCCCCTCCACATTTCATTTCAGCTGTGATGAAGAGCCAGCTAGACTGAACGTTAGCCTGCTCTTTCTCCATGGATGCTGTTTGATGCACTGTGATCTCTAGCTATTGTTTTCAATACAGATTCTAGCATCTGCAATAATTTGCTCCAACACCATCATAGCTAAGTGATCAGAGATAATAAAAGGTTGATCATAAATAAGCAAATTAGAATATTAAGGATGTACAAAAGAGAAGTATGGCACAGGAACAGGCCCTTTGGCCCTCCAAGCCTGTGCAGATCATCATGCCCTGACTAAACTAAAAAAGCAAACCTTCTGCCCTTATTCAGTCCATATCCCTCTATTCCTTCCCTATTCACGTAACCATCCAGATGCCTCTTGAATGTTACCAACACGCCTGTGTCCACCACCCCCTCTGGCAGTACATTCCAGGCTCTTACCACTCTCTGTATGAAAAAGTTGCCTCGCACATCTCCCTTTAAAATTTTGCCCTCTCACCTTGAACCTGTGCCCCCTTTTTAATTGAAACTTCAACCCTGCGAAAAAGCCTCTGACTGTCCACCTATGCCTCTCATAACTTTGTAGACCTCAATCGGGTCTGCTCTCAGCCACCATCTTTCCAGTGAAAACGATCGTAATCTTTTTAACCTTTCCTCATAGCAATGCCGTCGAGTCTGGGCAACATCCTGGTGAACCTTCTCTGCTCTCTCTCGCTGTCTCGCTCTCACATGTCCTTCTGGTAATGTGATGACCAAAACTGCGCACACTACTCCAAATGCAGCCTAAATAGCTGCACCATGTTTTGCCAACTCTTCCACTCCATGCCCTGGCTGATGAAGGCAAGCAACCCATCTGACTTCTTAATCACTTTGGCCACCTGTGTTGCTAGTTTTTAGGGAATTGTGGACCAGCACGCCCAGTTCCGTCTGTATGTTAATGTTCCTAAGGAATCTGCCATTAACAGTATAATTCACACCTCAATTTGATCCCCCAAAATACATCACCTCTCAGTTCTCTGGATTAAACTCCATCTGCCATTTCTGTGCCCAAGTCGTCAATCTATCTATATCCTGTTGTATCCTTTCAAAATGGTCGGCACTATCAGCAACTCCGCCAATCTTCTTGTCATCTGCAAACTTACTAATTAGACCACCCCATTTTTCCTCCAGGTCATTTATATATACTACAAACAACAAAGGACCTAAGACTGATCCCTGTGGAACATCACTAGTTACTGGTCTCCATTCTGAAAAACATTCTTCCACTGCTACCCTCTGTCTTCTATGACCAAGCCAGTTTTGTATCCATCTAGCCAGCCCGCCCCGAATCCCATGTGATTTTGGTTTTTGTACCAATCTGCCATGTGGGACTTTATCACATGCCTTACTAAAGTCCACATAAACTACATCCACAGCTCTTCCCTCATCAATTATCTTTGTCACCATTTCAAAAAAAATGGTCAGGTTGGTGAGACATGACCTTCCCCATATGAAACCATGTTGCCTGGTGCTAACTAGGCCATTTTCTTCCAAATGTGCATATCCCTCAGTATCTTCTCCAAGAACATCCCCACCGCAGATGCCAGAGTCACCAGCCTATAATTTCCTGGATTATCCCCGCTTCCTTTCTTTAAACAAGGGAACAACTTTTGGCTAATCTCCAGTCCTCTGGAACCTTACTGTGTTCAAGGAGGATGTGAAGATATCTGCTGATGCCCCAGCTATTTCTTCCCTAGCCTCTCGCAGTAACCTGGGATAGATCCTGGTTTATGTAGGTGATGGTGTATGCCTACCTTAATGCAATTTAGGAAAACCAAAACTACTTCCTTTTTAATATATTGACATTCTCTAGAGTAATTACACACTCGTCCTTGACCTCAACATCAGTTATGTCCTTCTCCTCGGTGAATACTGATACGAAGTACTTATTAAGGATCTCTCCCACTTCCTGTGGCTCCACGCATAACTTCCCTCCTTTGTCCTTGAGTGGGCCTACTCTTTGCCTTGCTACCCTCTTTCCTCTAATATATGCATAAAAAGTCTTGGGATTCTCCTTGACCCTGTTTGTTAAAGGCATTTCCTGGCCCCTTTCAGCCTTCCTAATTCTGCATTTAAGTTCTTCCCAAAGTTGCTAAAGTTTCTTGGTGGACTGAATGGTCAGAATGTTAGATTAACAGAGTAGTCTGTGACATATCTGCAATTTTGTTTTTTATTTGCTCGTGTAATGTGGTTATCTTTAGCAAGACAAGACATTCTTCTTTATCCTTAAGTGTCCTTGACGAGGTGGTGAAGAGTTGTGTTCAGGAACCATTACAATACTTACCGTGTACTTACCCAGTGTATTGTTAGGAAGGCATTTCCATGATTTTTGACTCCGTGATGAATCGGCGATCTATTTTCATGTTAAATAATGTGTGACTTGGAAGTGCAGTATGTAGGTGATGGTGTATGCCATGTGCCTACTAACGTTTTGTTTTTGTAGATGTCCTCACCTGCTTCATTAATGACCTTCCCTTCGTCATAAGATCGGATATGGGGATGTTCACCAATGACCAGAACAGTTTGTGACTCCTTGGATACTGAAGCAGTCCATGTTCAACTGAATGCGATCTTGACAGTATCCAGAGTTGAGCTGAAAAGTGTTATGTAACATTTGCGCCACACAAATGCCAGGCAATGAACATCTCCAATAATCACCACCCCTTGACATTCAATGGTGTTGCCATCACTGAATCACCCACTATCAACATCCTGGGGGGAGGGGGTTACCATTGACCAGAAACTCCTCCAGACTCACCACATAAATACAGTGGCTACAAGATCAGATTAGAGGCTAGGAATACTGCGGTGAGTAACTCATCTCCTGACTCTCCAAAGCCTGTCCACCATCTACAAGGCACAAGTATGTTGCAATACTCTCCACTTCCCTGGATGAGTGTAGCTCCAACAATACTGAAGAAGCTTGATGCCATCCAAAACAAAGAGCCCACTTGATTGGCATCACATTCACAGCATCCACTCCTTCTACCACCACTGCTCAGTAGCAGCAGTGTGTACTATCTGCAAGATGCACTGCAGAAATTCGTCAAAGATCCTTAGACAGCACCTTCCAAACCCACACCATTTCCATCTTGAAGCATAATGGCAGTAACCGATGGGAGCGCTATCACTTGCAAGTTCCCCTCCAATCTAATTACTATCATGACTTTCAAATATATTGCTGTTTCTTCATTGTTGCTGGCTCAAAACCCTTGAATTCTTTCCCTCACGACATTGTTGGACTAAGTACAACACATGGAGTGTCGTGGCTCACCACCACTTTCTCAAGGGCAACTAGGGACATGCAATAAATTGCTGACCAGCCAGCAACACCTATTTCCCATGACAGAACATTTAAAAAAAAAAGTCATGGGTTTGCTATAAAAGTTGGCAGAAATTTGAAATTATATTTTGTATGATTTAATTTTTTTTTAAAGAAATCTTGATTGCAGTAATCTGAAATGCATTAATGATAGTCCTCTTCTATCTACCTTGTAGGTTGTGAAACCAATTCCAGTGAAAGCAGATGGACCTGAGTTAGGCACTCGAGCATCTGACTGTCACACAGATATGATTGCCTCGTCACAAATACAGCGAGGAAGGCGCAGTCCTTCCCCTGGTAGTTCTTCTTCTGCCACGTCATCGTCATCTTCCTCAAAAACTACTACAAAGTCTGAATCACCTGGTGTAAGAAGGAAAAGGGTATCACCAGTACCTGTAAGTGCAAGAAGTAAGATTTTCTATCCTCTCCAATTACTGTGGAAAAATCTAATTTCATATGCAAAATTTACAGGGTCTAAAAAATAGTTGCTGTGAGCTGAACTTCTTTTAAATATTGCTCAATTAATTAATCAGGTTACCAATATATTTGGCATTAATACAGGAACATTTAATATTAAAATTAGCATATTTGGTATAAATACGTTAGATGTGTCATAGAGAGTGATAGTCATACAGCATAGAAACAAGCCCTTCTGCCCTCCATGTCTGTGCCGACCAACAAACACTACACCAGCTACACTAATCCTGTTTACTTGTAATTGGTCCAAAGTCTACTGTGCTCTTGATTTTAAGTACTCATCCAGACCAATGAAATGAAGAACAAATCTATAAAGATTAAACTCCATTTGAAACATAACAGTATTCCATCTTCCAATTAGTCAGCCATATTGGAAAATAGCAGCCTCTAACTTATTCGTGGAAATTCCCAAAACTCTGTAATGCATATACTGGTTGATGTGATTGTAGTACCAACACTTAACAGCATTTGAGTCTATAGGTGTGAGGCTGGAAAAGCACAGCAGGTCAGACAGCATCAGAGGAGCATGAAAGTCAACGTTTCGGACCAAAGCTCCTCTTCAGGACCCTTCGTGAGTTCTGGTGAAGAATTTCGGTCCGAAACGTTGACTTTCCTACTCCTCTGATGCTGTCTGACCTTCTGTGCTTTCCTAGTCTCACACCTATAGTCTGTGGCTTCCAGCATCTGCAGTCCTTATTATTGTCTCCTCTAACACCATTTGAAATGAAATTGCAGCTTTAAATGCTGCACACAGCAGTATAGATATGTAGCATTGAAACAGACCATTCAGTCCTACTGGTCTCACTGGTTTTTAAGCTGTACAAAAGCCTTCTTCCCGAAATTCATTTAATTCTTATCAACATATACTTCTGTTCCTTTCTGCATCGTACCTGTTAGTTCTCAGCATTTAAGGAAGGCCAGTTGCGCTCATGTGAAATCATTGTGGAAGCAGCAAAAGTTTCTTCTGAATTGTATTTTATTCACCGTTATCTTTTATTAATGACCCTGAGGTTTTGGACTCCCTATTAGTTCACACTCCGCTTTCTCTTCGTTAGAACACAATTAAGCCTGTAAAATCTTTTAGTTATTGTAATCTTTTTAGATCTGATACAATATGCAAACATATGTGTTGATCTAACTAAACCTCAGTTTAACACTAACAGAATACTGATAGGATTCTGGTGAATCCAGTGTTTAAGTTGGTTTATCTATTATGTGTGCAAAGTTTCAGCCTAAATATGTTATTCTCTTCTATCTCTTTCCATGATTTTTCATTTCCTTGAATAGCTGCTGATCCACTTAGTTGAAAGGTTTTCAGTGCTGAATAGACCAATGACCACTCCATCTCCATGTAGTTATAATCAGGGTAAGGGTGGGAAATTTAAAGTTTAACAGTTTTATCATATGCAAACATTTTTTATGCTTAACACCTGGTCCATGGACAAAATTTGGAGAAGCAGGCAGGGTCTGGCATTCTGAGCAGCATTTAACCATTATCTGACACCACTTTTTTTTTTAAAAGAAGGCCACTTTATTTAATAATGTCTTTTGAACCTAAATCTTTGGCAATTAAGCTGCCAATTTTAATAATGTTTCTTCAGAAATAATTAATTGGGCATGAAGTTTTTGAGGTGTCTACAGGATATAGAAGTGAATTTCTTTTATTGGATAGTGTTGAGTACTGAATTATTTCCACCAGTTCTGTAAACATCAACTTACCGCTGTTGTATTTCACACCGGCTCAAGGGAGGGTTGAATTTGAACCTGCATTTCTAACTAATTTTGATGAGGTTTCACATTTCTTGCATTAGTTGTTAATTACCACACAAATTTAAAATGTATTTCAAATTCTAAGGGCAACAATGAAAAAAGATAGAACTCCGACTTGTTCAATAAGAGTTGGAGGTCATCTGAGTTTGGAACCAGTCAAGGAGCTCTTTCTATAGCCTGGTCGTCTTTTGTCTGATTGTTGGAGAACTGAAAATCAGAGGTCAAAATTAATCTACTTCAGGTCACTGTCTATTTTTAACAATACTGTAACAGTGAATAGTGCAGGAAAACTAGCATATAGTTAACCTCAAATTGTCTGCTTTTTGTTTGTGTGTGCCATCCCTCCATCTGCAAAAAGCATCAAATTTTATAAAGATACATTGTGTATTGTCTTTCTAGGTTAGGATTTCCTTCTCTATATCTTAAGTTCATTTGCTGAATGTGACTTGAGCCATATTCTGTTTGTTTGCTAAACATTGCTTTGTGTATTACTAATTTGCCAAGTGTGTGTAGGTTGTAAATAATTGTCGTCTGGGTTTATAAACAGACGGGAGTTTGGATTTCTACTTGCTTTCTAATATCATAAATAATGTAGCTAGGTTGATTGTGTTTGTTTAACATGATTGACCAAATACACTAATTTTGTAGTTTCAGAGTGGACGTGTGACTCCTCCAAGGAGAGCACCTTCACCAGATGGGTTCTCACCTTACAGCCCTGAGGAAACTAACCGAAGAGTCAACAAAGTAATGCGAGCACGACTGTACTTGCTGCAGCAAATAGGTCCAAATTCCTTCCTCATTGGAGGCGATGTTCCTGATAACAAGTACAGAGTGTTCATTGGTCCTCAGGTCAGTTGGATAGCAGTGTCTAATGTACTGTGTTACAGCCATTTTTTTTTTGAGGGAAGAAATTTGCAAGGCAATGCACAGGATTCTCACTATGCTTCTATAATATTGTACTTTAGATATCTTGACCAAAGACTTTTCTAATAAGACTCTGACAAATAATTAGATGATAAATAATCAAGCTACAAATATGATACTATAAGAATATATAAACCGATTTGAGAAATGCAATACATTCTCTTGTTAATTACCATACGCAATGCATCTGTTACAATCAAAGAGAAACGAGTGCTGCAAGGGTTCTGAGATTGACATTTTTTATTTCTATGCCCATAATTTGGGCACCTCCTTAAATTATGTAATTACAAAGTAAACAAAACAAATCATTTTGCAGTAAACTTTTAGGAAACAGGTTATGGGATAAAATAGCATTTTCTCTTTCCTTACTTTGTCCTCTTGACAGGTTTTAACTGATGTCAGCAAAATGTAGTCTCCTGTTTGAGATCGGTCGAATAGAAGCATTTGTACTCTAGCCAAACTTGATGGCTAAACAGATTTAGCTTTTTAAGTTGTGGCTATTTTGGTTATAAATTATGTAGATAATGTAACACTTGCGGTGTGCTTTGGTGTACAGGTACATATCAGGTACTCGTCCATAGGAGGCATGTTGTTTTCGTTTTAAACTGTGTGTTGGACAACCAAATTGAGAGAGATATAGTCAAAGAGTGCCTGTATACTAAATATTGGCATCAGTGACAATAAACTGTCATGAAAACCAGTCAACTCAGCAAACCAGCCAACAACTCCATAAATTTGTCAGTTCATATATGTGGATATTGTCATCTTGATGCTTTATGCATTGGTAAACATTTGGGGGAAGAAAGAAACTGACATTATAGTGGTGGGAAAGGAAGGAGCGAACATAAGCTGTGAATGTACGTTCCTAGCAACTCCCTATGACTTGGGAGCCAATGGTCTATCTACTATCACAGCCACCCTGGTCATCATTTACTGATGTGAATCTCTTCCGGTAAGACAAGGTGGCACCTGCCACCTTAACTATTAACAACCAAGCTACCAAAGCTTGCTGTTTAAATTAGAACACATGACTCCCATATCCATTTTAACTAATTTGAAGAGATACCCTGAAAAAACACACAAAGTTTCTAAGATTTTGGTAATTTGAATAAGTCGATGTTAACATCTACAGTAGGCTCCCCTACTGCTTTCAAACACATTGAAATTATGTTTACTGAGTAAAGTGTGTTTTACAATTAGGTGTCTTTGGTCTACTGTCTATCAAGATTATGATTGTATCTCTTATAGACCTGCAGTTGTGGGCGTGGAACATTCTGCATTCATGTTCTGTTTGTTATGCTGCGAGTCTTCCAGTTGGAGCCTTCTGATTCATTGCTGTGGCGAAAGACATTAAAAAACTTTGAGGTGAGCGGAACAAAAAATAATTGATTCCTAACCTCTCTTTGAGGAGCTGTGAATTTGAGATCTTGAAGATGTACTTAAAGGGGGGGAAAATGCCTATATATAGCACCTTCCACTTTTAAAATTGCTTTACATTCAGCAAAGTACTTTTCAAGGACAGCGACTTGAATTGTAAGAAACACAGTCGCTAACTTCACATAAGGTGCTTAAATAACAAAATAAATGACTGGATAATTTGTTTTTAATTTGGTAATGACAATTGAATACATGTTATGGTTCAGGAAAGTAAGTAGTTCCCTGGGATTATTTACATTTACCTGATAGATGGGGCTTTGGTTAAACATATCAACTGACAGATGGCAGTGTATACAGTTACTTGTCACTTTTTTTCTATTTACAAAGGTGACAAGAAATAGGAGCAGAAGTAGTCTATACAGCCTCATCAGACAGCTCTGTTGTTCAGCATTTTTGTGATTAATCTTCTCCCTCAGCTCTACCTTTCGGTCCCCAATCACATTCATTAATCCCCTAATCTGTCCATCCTGGCTTTAAATATGCTTAATTGTAAAGCATTAACAGCTCTCTGGGGTTGAGAATTCTAAAGAGTCAGAAGAATAATATAAATATTTGAAATAATTTTAGAAAATATTATTTCCAAAGATTTTCGAAGATTTGTAGCTCGGGTTGTGGATGAGGTTGTAGACATGCTCGTCAAGCCAGTGAATTTGGTTACAAACGTTTCGTTACCCTGCTAGGTAATATCGTAATTGCGCCTCCGGTGTAGCGTCAGTGTTCTGTCCTGCTTGTTTATATGCCTTGGTTTGCTGTGGTGGTTGGTATTACTTCCGGTTTTATTTCTCAGTGGTTTGTGCGCAGGGTCCAGTTTAATGTGCTTGTTGATGGAGTTCAGTTGGAATACCAGGAATTCCCTGGCATGTCTCTGTCTGGTTTCTGCAATTATGGAGGTGGTGTCCCAGTCGAATTCGTGTTCCTCGTTGTCCGTGTGTAGTAAGACCCAGTGAGAATTGGTTGTATCTCTTGATGCCTAGTTGGTATTCATGTATCAGTATTGTTAATTTTCTTCTGGTTTGGCCTACGTAGCATTTCTCAGTCCTTACGTGGTATTTTGAACAAAAACAAAGTTCCCGGAAAAGCTCAGCAGGTCTGGCAGCATCTGCGAAGGGGAAAAGAAAGTTAACGTTTCGGGTCCGGTGACCCTTCCTCAGAATGGGTTCTGAGGAATGGTCACCAGACCCGAAACATTAACACTTTTTTTTTCTCCCCTTCACAGAT